AATATTGACAGCGCTACCCAGGAAATTCCGAGCATTATCTCCACGTGCGTGTATTAGCTTGAATTCAGCTCGCGTGAGGTATGCTCGGAATCTCCTGGGTAGCGCTGCCAATTTTCCAAAACTGGGCTTGATTCATCTTGTATAGAGACCTCGACCGCCGCGGAAACTCACGGGACGTGCTGCATATAATAGGGGAATAAAAATTCAAATCAAGTCTTGTACCAAGTCTAGTCCATACCGTGATATCTATCCCTATTTTTAAGCTCAGCCAGGAGCTTCTACATGTCACTTCGTGGTTGGTTGGTTGGTTGGTTGGTCGGTCTGTCTCCGGAAAATTGACCAAAAAATGGGCCCCCTAAGTTTCCCATAAAATATAACTACCAAGTGATCAAATGCGATACCGTCGTTAGTGAATGTACTCTTGGCGAAAGTTTTCGGAACACGCCCTTTTGTCACGATCGATGCGCATGCGCGTCTATTTTGCTTAACCGGGCCAGAGCAAATTGTGCCCTCGCGCTTGATTCCTCCTTTCTGGGGTCTGTTGTCCGTTACTGGGCAAGAGTATTTTCGCAAGCGCCCTTGATACGCCCTCGGCTCCAATACTTTCCTGACATTTCGTCAATTCAATTAGGACTTTGTAACCGTTATGTCATATCAGTCCGCAACACAAGCCGGGCCAACAGTCGTCAGTTGTCCGCCACAATTAAGGCCCATAATTAGACCAGGTCCGTCCTTCTTATAATAAGAGACTAAAAATTACCGAAGTGGATTACGCGATGCCTAGGCAACGGAACGTATAATGAGCATGCTCTATCGCAACGTAGGGAGTAATGATTACACAGTGACGCAAAATGGAAATCGTACAAAATCTATAATTAGAGATGTTCTGATTTTTTGGCCAGTTATTTCTCAAACACTCATCACAGCCGTTTTTGATGTATAAAAATCATCTGTATTCAACACACCTTAATCCAGATAACGATAACAAACAATTTTCAATACAAACAAACAGAACGTCAATACAAACGAACAAACGGACAAGAGACAGACTGAGCGGCCAGTCTGGTGGAATTGCTAAAAACAAACGTTATTTTCTCAGGCCTTTAGCAAAACAAGTTTACCAACGGGAATGTCGCCAAGTGTATATTTTTATGCGACTGGATCTCGACTGTTTCGGGCCTACTGTGAATTCGGCAAGCAAGATGTTCAGCTTAGGAGCTTTTGAATTAATGTCCAAATTCACTGAAGTGTATTCATTGTTTCCTTATCCTATTCCAAAGGTCTGGTTGCGATCAAGCTAAATGAGTCGAGAACTTTCATTTGGAGATATTAAGGCCAAAATAGGGCCACTTCATCACATCACTTCATCACATCTCTAGTTTTCAAACTTCCATAATTTTTGAACTAAAGATGGTATCAGCATACGATTTTCACAGCAGTAATGCTGAGATTGTGCTCTTTTTAAATCTGTAAAAATTGACCAGGGTCGACAAACAACTCATTTAGCTTGATCGCGTCACTATCCTAGTGTCTTATCGTTCACTAGAAAAGACGAAAAACCTGGTCGTTTACATCGGACGCGGCGGACATGTTGTGACATACGCAAACGTATTTCCAGCCGTGTCCTTGCCTTACAATGTACGGTACACGTGTGTGTTTCACAATATACACAGAGCGCCAAAACACAAATGCTGTTTCTCGCACGTCCGCAGAAAGCGATGCACTGCAGGATTCACAAATAGCACTCAACAGCTCAATTTTTGAGAGTCAAAATTTAGATCCCCGAAATTCGTTCTCGCATGGTTCTCGCAAGGATAACACAAAACGCCCAGTTTTTTAAGGGAGTCCGCTCATATTAAGTCCGACGCCTAATAGCTCCGACGCCTCGTAGGTCCGACAAATTAAACGCCTCGTTTTTCCGAATCGGACTTATGAGGCGTCGTACTTATGAAGCGTCGGACCTATGTGACATCGGACTTATACGGTCCCTTTTAAAAGGGTGGTTGCGTAGACGTTTATCGCTTTCCAATTAGCATCATTTTGTTTAAAACGCGTTTCGTAGCCCAATCGGGCGCATTCCAGGACGTGTACTGTTCCATTAAGCTTTGGGTGCAAGCTGTCTTCCCAAACTGCAACCTAATTCTAGCGGGGTATACCTCATTTCTCAACCCAAGTCTCAATCGGAGACCCATAATTCGTCGGTCGCACCACGAACCGGCGTATCTCGATTTTTTGCCAAATTGAGTTTTTGTCATTAACGTTATTATTTTATCAAAGTGCTCATTCTCAGAAAGTTTTGTTCCGATCGGAGTTCTAATTAACTAAGAACGCTAATTAGATTGTGCGGCGTATCTCTAAAAAATGAAAAATGCTGCACCACGAAGTGGCGTATCCCGATACGCCGCTTTACACGCTAATTCACATAGTGCTATGACGTCACAAAGCAGCGTCGACATGAAAAATTGGAATTAAGCGTTTCACGAACCGACGTATCTCTGTATCTGGCACACGGCCACTATTACGTGCGTTGTATAACATAGGTGCAAATGACCTTAAAACGATGGCTTAGTTCAATGATAGTATATAATACAAAAGTTGCAGGAGTATTTACAAATGGGATTTTGGGGAGGAATTTGTTATATTTCGAAAAATCTATCCCGCGTTCCCTCCTAAAAGGGTCCATGCAATGACAGTTTTTAATGCAATACATGGAAACGCACCTTTGTGTCCCATTTAACCTTATATGAATTGTTCAATATTGTTTTGGTTATTTTGAAGGGTATTTTGGTGCCTTTTTGGTTTTGATGCTAATGCAATTTCCATATTCATGAGCAAAACTGTGATTCCGGGCAGAAACCTCAATGTTACAGCTATTTCAGCACAAAAAGTTGCTAGAATTTTCGATATTTTGCTGTCGTAAATTTCCTTTTCTTTGGTGATACGTTGTTATGTAAGTACATGACAGTAAGCCAATGAGCAAGCCTTTCTCACAAATGTTTTCAATGAGCAAATTATGGATGCATAATTAAAACCCCTAAACTGAACAGTGTCTTCCTGAAATGACATCACAACACCAGCGCCCTCAGTTGGACCTTTCAAACGTTTAAAGAAGTGCACTTTTTAAAGCAATTAACTAACAAGGGATGTCAAATTGTTTTATACATTGAAGAGGATTAGAAAGTTGCACAAAATGTGTTCCTCAAAAAAAAAAATTCATCGCATGAACCCTTTTATATGCATTTTACATTGCCCTGGGTTTTTGCAACGCGACAGATCAACATCACAGTCTCTGAAAAAACTGATTAGAAAGTGAATCTGATAATTCCCACCACGATCCGAGACGCCAAAATTTATTATTTGATAGGTTACATCGAAATGTTCTAGATCATTGACTTAGTTCGGGGCCCCCTCAGGCTGGAACTATAACCCCAACGGACCTTGTGTTGTTCAGCTTTGTATGCGTGGACAATGATTCAGCGGCCGCCTGCTAAGTGCCGGGTAGATTTGATTACCAGGCCGAAACTCGATATCATTCAGTCAGAGTATTAAAAAGAAAAGCCATCAAATGTTACCCGCCCAGTATGAATCAGATATTGCTTTTATACCCGACTCCGGTACCTTACGGCGCCCGTCTTGCGTCTGGCTTCATGCCCACGCACTTATAGACCTTATACATATTTTGTTTACACATTGGATGTTGTGGTCACGTGATGCCAACTGCGCGCATTCGCTTAGACTTGGTTTCAAGTAGATAATTGTTTGCGTACGGTAACCGGTTACCGGCCGGCTCCACGCACGCAAAATATCGCTGCAATGCGCGTAGTCTGGTTCCCCAGATCAAATGATGCTGACTGTTTCTGACACAATTACCGAATTGGCGAATACGTGTTCAATTTTGTACACAACATAATGGGAGTATTTTTCGACGAAGTTCACGGACAAAATGCGACTATCTAACGACTTGTCATCAAGTCCAGTATTGGCCTGAAAAGTGATCGTGTAAAAGTGGTGACATGAACTTTTCAGTGTGGGCAAAATGACATGCAAAAAGATGCTGAAATGTTTGGGTTACCCGGCGGTTGCTCGTCGGTTGCCCGTTGGTATGACGTCACAGGGCATATGATCTATGATGATGAAGGACAGAAGATCAAACATAGAAGAGTTTCACAACCAAAGCCCTAAAGATCAGAAGGAATCTACCATTAGTAGAATCTACCTATACCCTGATAACATGGAGATTTTACTTACAGAACATGAAGTTACTGTAGCGGTGGAGTAGACATGGAAGAAAAATACTTTAAGCCTAGTAGGTCAAGAAGTTGTGACGAATCCTGTCTACGACGCCACTTTTGTAGCGGAACGCCAGTAAGGAGGTCCGCTCAAATGATTAGATTTAAGGACGCCAAGGACAAATCAAGATCAAAAGAAACAAATCAAAGCCAGAGTCAAATTATGCTTGGTCTCATGAACTTGTTCACAAAAATCGATTACAATAGTTTAAATTAACGCCTGATCTCAATTTGAACTCACAAAAACAACTGTTACAAATAGTATTGATAAGATAATAGATCAGTTTCTAGCTCTATAAATTGTGACACAGTTGCCAATAATAAAATATATTAAATCACAAAGTTTGTATTTCTGAAGTTCCCAGATTCAAAGTGAGGTTCCTAATATTCACCGGTTCCTAAGATTCACCGGTTCCCCGAACGCCTGGCCAGTGTACGGCTGTTGTGAACTAGGCTTCCAAATTGCACCTGACATGAAACAGCCATATTGCCATAAATCAATATGTGACACACGGTGATTAAAACTTTGAGATTGTGAAGACTAATTCACCCCCAAATCACTCCTTTTGTCAACATGAAATAAACTAAAACCTAGCCCAGCGGTAGCAGAGAACTTGCATGATGACATTAGAATGTAAAGATAATACAAATTTTGCTCATTTGAAACTAAAATGTTGGTTTTCAAGCACAAGTTTTGTACACGATACTCACACTTTGGTGAGCAGGCAGAAAAGGGATGATATTCGCGCGTTCACGGCACTGAGTGCGCGTTTGTATACATTTTTCTGGGCTGTGTGCCAATTGTACGGTGCCTCGTAAAAGACGTCTCACTACATTACTTTCGCAGTGATTCATTATTCATGGATTAAACACACACACATAATCCTTTCTGATCTCGTATTAATCCGGTCAATTTAGCTTTGACCTTTACAAAACTAATTGCAATAGAGACCATTCAAGCGTCAAACAACTTCAAAAAGATTCACAGACAATTGATTTTGTTTTTAAAAAATCTATTTATTTCTATGAGGTGGAAAGGTGTTTTTTCAAGCACTTTTTGGAGATTAAACTTTGGGACTTTTGTCCTCGAACAATTCGTCTGGTGACTTGCTTCGATTAACATGCTTATATAAGGTAATGTTTAGGATTCATGACCACATGCGAGTGCAGCAGACGACAGTGCTTCGGAAACTTAAAAAAGGATAGAATTTCTTTTTGCTTTGAGCATAAACTTTTTACAGTACGTTTTATCAACAGCAGTACGAGTTTGTAACTTGGTTCACAATTCTACATTTGGCGGGAATATTGTCTGTTTCAAGTCATAAGTTCATACAAGGCACTACGGACAGAGTGAACGACTTTCCGCCTGTTATAGTGCACAATAAGTCCATATAGACGAGAAACGTGTATTTGCAAAAAGGCAAGTCAAAAACATCACGTTTGATCATACACGGATACAAAACGATTGGACGGTACATACATGGACCGTTTTGAAAGTAAATCGAAAAATCTTATTTATAATGAATTGATTGAGCGCCTGAAAATGATGATGAACAAAATGTGTTGGATTTGGTTAAGAAAATGCAGGAAATACTTGGCTCGGGTTCTGATGCCTACATTAATAATTATTTGGAAGTGCATGTTATATGCAACAAAAAGTCTCACAAAAACTTTGATCACAAAGCAATAAATTCCGACCTAATGAGAAACAGATGTACATGGTTCTGTACATGAGCTCTGCATGGCACAGCGCACATTTTCCATAAGTTCATTTTGTAATTAAAACAGCTGAATCGAGAAGATCCTGAAGTATGAAAAATGAAGCTTGATTGAGACATCTGTTTGTCAAGAGTGACTTTAAATCAATGCACTACTCCAGACAAACACTTGAGTCCCGACGAAATGATTCCTTGGATGAAACAGACCTCCCTTTATTATTAATGTAAAAAAATGAACTCAGTGGCATGGGGACAGGGAGTTTGGTTTGAACAGCCCCCCCCCCACCCCCACCCCCACCCCCACCCCCCCCCCACCCCCACCCCACACACACCCAGGCCTCGATCTGGGGGCACGATCTGTTAATACACTTGTGACACTGCCTAAGCTGAACAGTGTCTTCCATCACAGCAACAGTGCCCTCAGTTGTCAAAAAAAGCATGGGAATTTTTAAATGTTTAAAGAAGTGTACTTTTTAATGAAATTAAATCAAAACGGATGCCAAAATAGTTTTCATACATTTAATAAGAGGAGTAGAAAGTTGCACAAAAATATGTTCCTAAGAAAAATTCACTGCACGGACCATTTAAATTGATCCTTTCTATCACAAGTTATGCATGTTTTACTAAACGAACCCATTTTTACAGCTGTCCATGGAATACTATAAGTAAGGCTTGCTCTATGTTTGAACTAATCCAGCTGAGTGAGCGCCAGAGATTGCACACAGGCATTCAAATTCAAATGAGATTCAGTTGAGTCAAGACTAAAGCATTAGGTTTACTGTCAGATAATGGGGGGTTTTGTATATTATACATTCTAAAATGAAAATGGTGGGTTTTGTCTCTTTTTTGTGGTGGACAGCAGAATTTTGTGGTACTTCTATTAAAAATAGCAATAACTTGTGAATGCAGTAAGTAACTTAATTACGTGAAGTTTTCACAGCTACGATTCAATAACATGTACTTTATTCCCATGTTAATTTCATAGATTGGAGCGAGCCATATATCTTTGTGATATTTTTCTAAAAGTCGGTCACTGTACACTGAACCAACAAAGAAACACACACCCAAAAGAGTTGACCACGACCAAAACCCAACATTCTATCATCTTTGGTGCTCGAGCAACTGTATCACGAAATCATGATATTTATCGGTAACATGGACGTTTGCTATTTAATCGACAGTACTTGCAGGTCAAAATATATCAAAAATGCCGAAAGCAAGGAAACTGACGAAAAAGGTGTTTTTTTGCCCGCCACAACTGTACTTCTGTCCACTCCAGAGAAAACAAATTGAATTATGTTTAAATCAGTCAAATTTGACATTTACCAAATGTGGTTGTTATTCATGACAAACCTTATGCACACAATTGAACAGCGAACCACTGGAACTTTTCAAATAAAAAAAGACAAGTGTGATTGATTTCACGTCAAAAACAAATATGTGCAACTTCGTCTCTTGCGTATTTTTGTTTTTCGTAGCAGTTGCCTACACATTCTGCTCACACGTCCAGGGGGGGGGGGGGTTCGCAAGAGGTGGCCACTGGACGAGTACGAGCGACTAATCGCATTGCATTTTTTCCCGCGTGTCCTGTGGAGTGTTACCAAAAAAAAAAAATTCTATGCAGCAGTGTTTCCTTGGTTTGCCTATCGAGATAATAGGCCATTCCAGGTCAGCCTGGCTTGCCAGGGTAGTCTTACTCGCGTACGTAATAAGAGGGTACCCTGGCAAACAGAGTCCACATATTTCAGGGGCGGATCCAGGATTTTTTTTTTTTTCTAAAATCAATTGATCATGAACAATATATTAAGGAATAGTGTACAAATAGTCTCAGTCCGAATGATGTGCACTGAGGTGGACATTATTTCCGGTATAATTGTAAAAAAAAAAAAAAAAAGGGGGGGTGTCAGAGCGAGAGGGGGTGTTTCACATTATTTTTGATATATTTCTATGAAAAAAAAATATGAGTAAAAATATGAGTAAAATAGTAAAAATATGAGTAATAGCGATTAACTATTCACGACGTATCCAAACATGGATTGACACAATTCTGTCCAATCAGATCGCTTGTTACAAAAGTTGACCACCAACGCGAACTCATCTACGATACGGTCGAATAACATTCTCTATACCTCGCGGTACATACTGGGCCTTGGCTGCCACTAGGTTGGAGTCTCACCCCAACAAAAACAGCTCCTCCGTGCAAGAGGTACGAAATGGAAATTCTCTGGTGATCATGTAGGCCGTCTACACACTGGTCGCCATATTTGTGTGGCCTCTAAAAATGAATCAAGGGCTACATGTAACGCGCTCTTCTATTGGCTAAAACGCTCCAGAAAAAAAACTTCGCAGATCAACAATCATGAATATGTATACAATCTGATTGGTTGACTGCAAGCGTCAAAATAGTGCAAATGTAGCCTCGGTTTGCCAGGGCAGTTTTATGGCGTACGAGAGTATGACTGCCCTGGTTAGCGAGGATGACACGCGATCACTTCTATCACGAGGCCCTCTTCAATGGCGAATAGTGCTAGCTATTGTTCAGATGATTCGTCACGGGCATGGGCGTCGCGGGGGGGGGGGGGCAACTTGCCTTCCCACCCCCCCCCCAAAAAAAAAACGAAAAAAAAGGGGGGAAAGAAAAAAGAGGTGCGAAGCCATATTGCTGTTAACTTGATGGGGGTAGGGCAAATGCTGCCATGTTCACGCTCGGAAAATGATAAATTGAGAATATTATGAAAAAGTTAAGGAATTTCGGGGGGGAATTTACTTTGCCCCCCCCCCCCCGGAAAAAAATTCTGGCGACGCCCATGGTCACGGGTAGTTGCTTTGTACAGTGGCGTGCACAGTGGTCAGTCAGTCAGTCATCGATCGTAGGCTGCCACTTCGTGAGGACTGAAAAATATCTTTGTATAGTGCCCGCTCAAATGAGATAGAGAAAACATGTGCTTGCAGCATCCGCGCTTATTTCCGTCGACTTTCAAACGATCAGGGCCCAATTTCACGGCGCTGCTTAGCACAAAAATGTGCTTAGCACAAAAAAGTCTGGCTTATAAAAACAGGTTATCAGCCAAAACTCCATGTGATTATCATGTTAAGCAAACAAGAGCTGGATACTAATCACGAGCAATATATACCACGTGGAGTTTTGGCTGGCAACCTGCTTATATAAGCCAGACTTTTTTTGTGCTAAGTAAATTGTTGTGCTTAGCAGCGCCGTGAAATTGGGCCCCGGTATGCTTTTCCAAAATTCACGTGTCCAAAACAACACAATTTTTGTAAAGTGAGTTACTCGTTCTGTAGTAGAATATACAATCTAACCCTACTTGTAAACACCGTGACGTCATGCAAATTCGGTCATCAAAAAGGTTCAATTTTAAATAATTTGAAAAATTAAATTTAGGCCGTGGACGTCACAAACTCCCTTTGTTTTGACGGAGCTTTTTAATTCTTTTGAGCTTGATTTGCTGCAGACCCCTGAAATTGTTAATTTGAACGTTTGTCGAAATCAAAAACATTTCGTGAATGTCTGGCCACATATGGAATGTGATAATATTTCACTACTTTTACCTTTTTCCACCCAACATTCTCGCAGCGATGACGTCATTGTTCAGCGATAATGAGAGTATCTTATCATCGCCTACTTATGCCAGAGATCTCATGTTAGCTATACACCCGAATATAAACATATTTGTTAGGAAACATGAAGACGAAACAAATTTCATGGAAATTTATTGCACCATGAGAAATAGTTTACTTTCTAAGTCTTTAAAAGGGAGACATTGAAGAAGGAGATTATAACTGGTTCGATAAAAAAATAACACTTCAATATACAACTCCTTATATATTGAAAAAAAAATTCCATATTTTTTTATCAGAAAATGTGAATGGGGACAGGTTTGTCTCTTTTGATGATTTGTTATGCATTAAAACGATAAAAGGTCCATATATGAAATTTTCTTGGAGGACGAAAGTGCAGTTGACGACATTTTTCTTAAGGGAA